TCCACTTTAATTGATTCGTCAAAGGCCAAAGATACAGCCCAACCATGCATTATCTTTTAATCTCTACATAAATTCTTAATATAAATGAGTTTGTATTTGCTAGTATGAAAAAAAAGGCATTTTTTATTCTTCATAATACTAAAATAACAGAAAATTGTGTACGCAAAAACATTTTTTATCTAATTACACAACAACTGTTAAGGAAATAGAAAAGTTTTACTGGAAAACCTGAATTACTTTGAAAACATTTCCTGAGCAATGATGTGGTTTATCAATTCTTGGTTAAATGATCGGGAAAGTGTCCAAGTTATATTGGTCTCCCCCCCCCCTCTCCTGCCAACAATTGAACGATACATTTCAGTATGGCTAACAATAGGCTTTTTAAATTCGTTCGCTATATCTCTCTTATTATTAGAGATAGACATGTCTCAGTCTAAACTGATCAAGTTTCTTTAAAAAATTAGATTTTTTTAGTTTCGTTCAAACTCCTTTAAACGTTTTAGGTCAACAACTTTTATCATTGGAAATGTTTAAGGAATAGGTAGTGGAACGTTAGATGTTAGGAAAATATGTGTATTAGGGTGGCCCAAAAAAAAAAACGAATATTTTTTTTTTCGTGCCTCTTGTGAAAATATGTTAGTTGGTCATGTTTTAAGAGCCCCCTCAAAAAATCAGCTCAAAAAAAATTTTTTAGAGGTCGCTCAAGATTTTTTAAAATTTCCAAAATCGTCAAAAATTGTTTTTTTTTTATTTTTTTATTTTTGCTCGTTATTTTATCATTTTCTAAAGGTCACTCATAATTATTTTAACTTTCAAAGTAGTGTACCTATCTTTTCGAGCGACCTCTAGAAAATAAAAATCAACGAACTAATAATTTTTTTTCATTAAATTTCATGAACAAAAGAATAGAAATAAATCACGAGACACTTAAATTTTAAAAAATTATAAATATTTGATACTCAGTGCGGTAGTAAATTTTACCTCGAGAAATTTTTTAAGTGTCCCGTGATTTATTTCTATTCTTTTGTTCATCAAATTCAATAGAAAAAATTATTAGTTCGTTGATATTTATTTTTAGAGGTCGTTCGAAAACATTGTAGGTACACTACTTTTAAAGTTAAAATAATTATGAGTGACCTTTAGAAATCAAAATATCGATTTGAAATTTTCAGAATCGAGATTTTTTCAACTTAGAAAATAACGAGAAAAAAAATTAAAAAAAAAAATCAATTTTTGACGAGTTTGGAAATTTAAAAAAATCTTGAGAGACCTCTAAAAAATATTTTTTTGAGCTGATTTTTTGAGGGGGCTCTTAAAATATCAGGTCACGATCGCTGGGCGCGGGGGCGGTCCGATCGGGAGTGATCTAGATTAAGTTGTGTAGGTTGAACTTTTTTCCACTAAATTATATTCCACAGGCACTTTTTTAAAATACACGCCACAGTGTTTGTGAAACTACATAAATAAATTCCTTTATAAACCAGGGATTAAGTGCTTTATTATCCATATTCCATATTATCCATAAAAATTACGCTCATTCGAAATGTGTCAGATGTATCAGATGGCGAATTCTGTAAATTATTTTTGTCACAGCTTTTGTTTTTATTTAAAATATTTGATAAACTGTTTATATACAGGGTGCATATAAAAAATATGTACAGACTTAGAGTGTGATAAAATGTAAAGGATAAAATTCTTTTTGTTATGATCACATTTCACAAAGGCGATTTTTAAGAATCGAAGTTTTTAAAGGTGCTAATAAGGTTTTTATTAGTATGTAATATTTCATCTTACACGAAAAAGTTACCTTTATAAAAATCACGAAAAGCACATCGTTTTTGAGAAAAACGCAATTCACTGCCCAAAGTTCTACTGGGTGTTAAGAAATAGTAGGCTATACTTCAACTATATTTTTCTTGAATGAGAATAAATCGATTTAGATCAAGTTATCCTAGTGTACTAAAAAATTACAGGTTTTCAAAAAACACAATTATTATTTTTTTTGAAGGATCCTATATCTTTTTGCCAGAGGCTGCTACATTAGTAAATCGTGGTTTGCTGTTATAATTATCGATTTTTGTCCCAAAAATTGGAAGCGCTAAAGTCAACTTTAATTGTAGCGAATGCGACGATCAATTTTTCGACAATTTATCGGTGAAAAATTACCAAAACGCTATTAAGGAATAACCTCTTTCGATATTTGTACCAAGTTCTCTTATTGCTGTGGAAGTCAGTACGTTTTGTTAACACCACTTCGTATCCGGATGTGCGCTGTCAATTTAATATCCTCCAGTTTAGTTTAGATAATTATATTTCCACGAAGAGGATAGAGATAATTTTTGGCGACGCTCTGAAGTTTATTGATTGTTGTTATTAACCACAAACGGGCGTAGATTGTGCGTGAGAACATAGCGACAGATCGTTACGTTTATTTGAGCTACCGTTTGGTGCGGCCACGTAATTATCGATAAATTATTGCACTATAACAGCTCACGAGCTCGCGCAAAATACCATGGACAAACTGGGTATACAGGCTGGTTTATATTTTCTTACTAAACTTTCGGTCAGTTGGGCCTATTTGCAGGTGAACTAGTAGTTGGTTTTTGAGGATAAATGGCGATTTATTGTTTAAATTTAATGTCGAGCTATCTTGGCAGTCTCTATCACCACGTATGCATCTATTATCCCTGAGAGTGCAAGTAGCAGCAAACATTGGCGTCTTTCGTTAATGAGAAAGTTGTTTTTTTGCTATAAATTCGCTTGTTTCATAACTATTTTTTTTAGAGAAAAATGTATTTTTATCATTCATTGTTGAAACAAATTGTATAAATATACAATATATAGGGTGGCCAAATGAAAACGAAACAGAGCCGTTTTCAGGAACTGCGTCAAGATTGTAGAAAAACGCTCAGACCCGTCGATTTTAGATTAAAGGGGGACATTCTTTGCTGGTATTTTTGACTCCTCCACTTTCACTCCCAAGCAAGGGTAAGCATCATCCCAAAATATTTAATAGGCATTGGGGGTTGAGTAACATTTCTTTTGAAAGTTCTTATATAACAGACTTTAAATTTTATAATTCCGCCCAATACTTTGAAAAAAATTTACATTTAAAAATTTAAATTATGTTTAGTTGCTTACTTACTACTTAGTTGATTAATTGTTCAAACTGCCCGTTTCCATACAAGAATAATGATTTTGTTCGAAACGTTCGCGTACATTCCAAAGCATTTCCGGAGTGATTTGACGGCATTCGTCGACGATTCTTTGACGCAAATCTTCCAGCGACGCTGGCCGTGTTTTATAAATTTTAATTTTTAGGTATCCCCACAAAAAAAAATCAAGGGGCGATAAATCCTGTGATCGTGGAGGGCACTCAATGCTGCCTCTTCTCCTAGTCTAATTCCGTAGAAAACGTTGGTCCAAATACTGACGGACAATTAACGCATAATGCGGAAGAGTATCGTCCTGTTGAAAAATCAAATGATCTTCATCACACTCTGGAACATTTTCAATAATATCAGTCAAGGCAGGGTCAATAGCGTCTTCCAGTGATTGCAAATACATTTGGCCAGTCAAATTACCAGGTAGAAAAAAAGGACCCACCAGCCGGTCACCGAAAATTCCAGCCCATACATTTAATTTTTCCGGTTGCTGTGTATGCACCTCGTGAAAAACTCTTGGGTTTGAATCGGACCAATAGCGGCAATTGTGACGATTTACCGTCCCGTTCAAGAAAAAACTGCATTCATCAGAAAAACAGATGTTAAAAAGGAACTGTGGATCGTTCCCTGCTCGCTCACTCATTATTTCGCAAAATTGCAAACGGCGGTCATAATCATCCTCATGAAGTTCCTGGACTAAATGTATTTTGTATGGATGGAATTTATTCTTCTTCAAAATGGTTTGTATGCTAGTTCGATTGATCCCAGACACAGATGCCAGCTGCCTCGTACTTAATGTAGGATCAAGATGAACTTGTCCCAAAACTGCAACTTCACTAGCTTCATTAACTATAGGTTTTTCAATTTCTCGTTTTTTATTGGCTACGTTCCCTGTCTCTTGAAATTTTTTTACTAACTCTAGAACATACTTCCTCCTGACATGTCGATCTTGATGTTGTTCATTAAATAGCTGAGCTGTTCTATTCGCACATTTATTGTTCATAAAGTAAAGCGAAATGATATCTACCCTTTCCGCAATGGAATAAACCATAGTGTTTAATTTTCAAAAACACAATTAAATAAACTACCAACCAACGCTTCCAAATAATACTAGAAAATAATTTGGAATCCACTAATTTTACGTTCATTGTGTGTGTATAGCATTCATTTCTGTTTTTTACAATTGTGTTTTTTTTACGAAAGTGATAACAAATCGCCAAAAACCAATGTAACGCAAGAAATACTAAATTTATACCATTGGCGTACTTAACTCGAATGACTGACATTTTTACCGTTACTAATTGTTTGTACATAAGTTTCAACTTTAAAATCAAAATTCTTAATAAGTATTGGGCGGAATTATAAAATTTAAAGTCTGTTGTAAAGAGAATTGTAAGAGCTTTCAAAAGAAATATTACTCAACCCCCAATGCCATTTAAATATTTTGGGGTGGTGCTTACCCTTGCTTGGGGGTGAAAGTGGCGGAGTCAAAAATACCAGCAAAGAAAGTCCCCCTTTAATCTAAAATCGACGGGTCTGAGCGTTTTTCTACAATCTTGACGCAGTTCCTGAAAATGGCTCTGTTTCGTTTTCGTTTGGCCACCCTACAATTGGGTCCTGAAGATAAGAAATTTCTGCTTGTCCTCTAACTCTTACAGGTGTTATACTTCAGTCGAATTAGATCATAAAACTTGAAAGCTTGAAAAAATTAACAAATAATAAAAGTCTTGCCTCTTCAGGGTCCAATTTTGACACACGCGGTTTTGCAATAAAAAGAAAGGAATATGTTGGTTTACAAATAATGACATTATTGAAATGAATGAAAAAAACCCTCACCTGAAGTCGAAGGTCCCGCGAACCACATGGCCACAAGGTCGTCCACGCTGGCGGCCGACGTCGACGGTTGCGGGGGAGGCTGGTAGCCCCCATAGTAGTACCCGGGGGCGCCGAAGCCCTCCAGCCCCCTGCCGGGGGGCTGATGGGAGCTTCCCGGTGTCGGCGGCGGAGCTTCCCGTCGGTTCTCATTTAGCAGCAACTGTTGCACTTGTAAAATATCCACAAACTCATCACTAGCGCTCGTAACTGGCACTCTAGGAGGTCTATCTTCTCTTCTCATTGTTAGCGTTAACATTTTGGGAGGTAACTAGGCAAACGAGGAGATCGTTTGCCATAACGCACTCGCGCACCCTTTGAGTAAGTCTCCTTCGTCGGCACTACCTGGGGGAAGGATAAATAGTTAGACCTTTCATGATTTAGATGATGATAACGATAGGTTTACAAATTACACCACCGCTGTAATCAGTTTCTTAACCTTGGTGTTGGTTTTTGTTAAAGGTGATGTTAGTATAACAGGAATACAAGATGTTTACATCTATTACTCTTTCATTGACAGTTTTTTTATTTTTTCTCTCTCACACAATTCTTTTTATTAACAAAATTTAACTTCTAGCTTCAGGGTATACAAGTCTAATTCATCTTCCGGTCAGTTTTAAGGCTACAAAATAAAACGTAAATGACGTGAACTGACCTGAAGATAGGGTGCAGTTTGTAGACTCCGAAACTGGTAGTCAAATTTTGTTAATAAAAAATTGTGAGTGATTTCAGGCTTCTTTTCCGAAAATCTAAACCTTATTTGAATTAGTTCAATACCTTTAGAATAAATTAAAAGTATAACAGACTAATAATAAAATATATTATTAAAAAACGTTAAGAATATATTTAAAGCGAAAAATGCCAAGAGAGGTAACTAAATAGCAGGCATTGTTTAGCGTTGTTACAAGAGTGTTTAAATAATATTTTTTATGACAGCATATCTGCTCTATAACACTTCTAAACCATCACTTCACTTTGCGTATATGTATTTTCAATAAAACTTTTTGGTGTGAATTAACTGTGCGTTTCTTCTATTACGTTTTTTATATGGAAATTTCTAGTTTTGTAAATATTCTTTTTATCTGCAGGTGCATCATTGCTAACCAAAAAATAAAAAACTATTATTAGTTTGAAAGTCATCTCATACTTTGTGCCTAAAATATTCATGTTCTATGCCCCAGGAAGAGCACATAATTTTTTGAGATATGTTCAATATCTACAATACAGTCGGAAATGGCGCTATCTTGTACCCTTCACAGAATATTATGAATTATGGATGATAATGAGACAGTTGAAATGATCCAAAATTGGTCCAATACAAACTACATCAAAAACCTATTTTGTAAAGAGTATCTACAAGTTTCTGGATAGCGGACCAAATATGATATGAAGCAGGAGAACTATGTCAAAAATATGACGCAATTTTTTTAGCCTGTCTTTAAGCCTTTAGTCCTGTATAAATTTTTTTCTAAATTGGGAAACCTTCAGATTATATTATTTTTTAAAGAAGATACAATGACATACATTGCTCAAAATTATTCCTCTATTAAGACGCAGATATTGTATCAGGGCTGATATTAAAATATATTGAGAAATGGCATGTAATCGTTTGCAAATCTGTCTTTGGAATTGATGAATCAGTTACGGCAATTTTAGCAACTACTACTACCACTAAGTAATAATTTCACTTTTATTTAAAAATGAACAAAGATACTAGAATGTAAAAGATATTTTAATAATGACTATTTTAGATGATATGATTATCTAGAAGATATCTATGAAGGGTGTCCGCAAATTTCACCGACAACGTTTGACGTTTGATTCACGACGATAAATACGAAAAAAAAAGTTAAATAAAAAATTTTTGGTTTTTGAGTTACAAGCCTTCAAAGTTGTCACACTAATTTAATTAATAACTTCATAACGCTTTTGCTGATCGCCTTAAAATTTGGCACATTTATTAGGACTATTATGGCGTATTATTTCTTAAAGCTTTAGTCAAATCGATATACTGGGAGATAGTTTTCTCTGGTTACCTCTCCCTTTTAGCGGTCAAAACTTTTACAGTAGTCGTATTTTTTTAAAGCGGGCAACATTGAAAAGGCCATTTTATTAAAAAAATATATTGTCTCTTGAGAAAATCGCCTACAGAAAGCCATTCTTGAGAAAAATGGCATTATTTGCATGTATGTACGTTTCGGTTTGTATAGCGGTGTCACGGATTTAAAACTTTGAGTTCAGTAGGCGAAGAAAAGTAACAATTATTGTATTTTTTATTTTTATTTATATAGTTTTCCTTGTTATTTTCTGCAAAAATGTACGCTATGCGAATTATAAATTACTTCACAAATTATGTTAAAGATTATTATTTAAAGGTTAAAGAAGTCATTTGCTAGTTTCTTATCTCACGTTTAATCCGTAAATTTTTAATTTTTGGGTTATTTCTAATCGTCTTTAACAAATTAGTAAACTTTTTCACTTTTTATTATTTGAATGTACTTATTACCATTTTAAAATAAATGTTGCTACAGAACGATCGTTGCAAGTTGAATAGCCAGTTTATTTTAAATTGACAAAAATGTATTCACTGATTTTTGAAGCAGCGTTTGATGAAAATTAAAAAACATTTAACCTTTTTTTTTAATTTCAGGATAGCTATTACAATTTTGTATATTTATATTTTATTAGTCCAGAAAGACCTGATTTCTAAACTTATACTAAACCAGAAAAAATTGTATATTCAAAAGGTCATGGAGACATGAACAGATACCTGTAGTCTGTAGTATAGGAGTTAAACAATAGTTTATTATTAAAATATATTATAGCACCAACAAAATGTCTTACAAATGCCGAGGAAAAGCTTGCACATTTACCCGAACTGAATTTTATCGGCTGTTATCTGGACCATCGAATTTTTTTCCGCAGGTAGGTAACTACGCAGTTATTGAAAACAATAATTTATACATCAAAATGCATCAACGAGAACATTTTTTCTAAATATCCGCGATGGACATTTTCCAAATGATCTTTAGTCTCTGTCTCAAAATGCGCAATTTGAATTACTAGTCGTCCTTTATAGTTGGCACTTTATTGATAATGAAATCAAGGCCAATTGCGAAACATGCCATTCAGGAATTTGTTTATAATTTCGTTTTGATTTTGCACTACTAGGACTTTAGTCAACCACCTGTTATTTAAGTAATAGCTGTTGTTGGGAGTAGAAAATACGTACTTATGAAATATTTGAAGGGTAATATAACCTGCGTTTGGTATGTACCTAGACAATAGCTGATTTTCCTCCCTCTAAAGCACCATCACAGTCTCACAGTTGCCTCTCTGCCACCCCTAAATCCTTCCGACACGGCCGAAACACACCACTTCGCATCTCGCGGATAGTTAGACCCGGATAGACGCCGCGAAAGCGAAATTACGTTTGAGGTTATGTCGCCGTGACGTCACCGTTTAACTTTCTTCGTTTGTCAAAAGTCCTGGGCGCCGCGGGGACAAAGCTCGTGCGACAGATACAGCGCGAGCGACGGATCTCCGGCGACGCGACAGCTCCAAAAAACTTGACAGAAAACCCCTCGACGTGCACTATTCGCGGCCCGCGCGCCGAACATGAATGAAATTGGTCGGACATGTGTGTCGGTTGGAGAATTTCTTGAGCCCACGTTGGACGCCCTCGCGGTGGCTACGTCACGGCGTCGTCATGGTTAACTCTGTAGTTGGAATCTAGCAGGTCGTCGACGGAGTCGAGCGCGGTGGGCCGGGGATCCGCCGTAAAATATTGAAAACCGAGGCTTTTTATGTAGCATTTCATAATCCGGTGGTGGGTGGCCAGATCTCCGTGTTTATTTCGAGCCTTACTTGTTGATGCACTTCGTCACGGGGCTGCGGGTCGCGTCGGGTGGGTGTCTCTACGTAGTTCGGCCGCTAAACCCCCGACCACAGTGGTCAAAAATCCTTAAAACCCGATCGAAACCTAAACTTTTCACTTTTTTCTTTAACGCTAAAATTTACACTGTAGACACCCCTAATACTGAACTAATTTTTCAGAAAATATTGGGTCGATTTAAGCTTCCATATAGAAGTTATAAACGGTTAAATCTGTTAAAAATAATGCGAATTATTATTACGTTTTGTCTCTTGAAAAAAACGCAATGTTTGACAGCTTGTACAACATTTAGGCCTTTATATATTTATTTACACTATACAGGGCTCAAAAGTATGGTCTTTTGTTATTCTTTTCATGTACCTTAGGTAATTATTGAATTAAACCTTAATGGTTTTTTGCTGATTATATGCAGCAGATAATTTTCGGCGAATTTTCTAATTTAGGTCGTTATCTGATTTAGTGCTATAAGAGACTATATACCTCTCAAATTTATGCTAGGATACCTGGGAACATAATTACACTTAATTTGTCTGCAGATATTTGTACGGCGCGTACAATTTACTTCAGTTATTCACCCGCTTTTGTGCCAGACAGTATTTAGTGTGCTCCAGTGATTTTTCCGTTCTGTTTTTGTTTGTTCTGTATTGTTATATGTTATTTGCACTGTTTTTCTTTGTTTATTATTATCTTTTATTACAGTGACTGATGAACCAATAACATGCCCGAAATTACATCAAATAATGATGGAATTTTCACGCGAATCATTCGAAGTGTGAAAAAAACGTGTGCTTGACTTTTTAAAAGAGCATTTCACATAAATTTTGATGAAAATTCAACGAAAACCCTTATCCCATATACAGGAAAAGCATTTTTGCGCTTTATTCTGCAAGATGGAGAAAAGTAAATCGAAAAAACGAACAGTTTTTAAGTAAATTCGAATATTGGTTGAATGAAGTAATAAATTTTCCGAAATTTGTTGTTCGCTGCCTGCAGGATGCTCGTAAAGCGTCTACATCAGGAAAGGGTGGTCGTTCATCTAAGGATTTCGAAGATTGTTCTGTCGTTATTAAACGTAGAAAAACACAGGAGATTCGTGAACAAACATCTACAGAAAAATTATCATAAGGCTACCTATGAGAAAGTGGAAATGTAGATGCAGCCAAATTGCTCACTGAAGCAAGCGTATATTGATGAGGAAATGTTGCCTTTGGTAATTATGTCGGACGCAGAGGAGAAAGATAAAGACGACGAATTCATAGATGAACAGGAAAGTAACTTAGAGGAAGAGTTTGAAGAAGGTGAAGAATACGAAACTGATGAAAGTGAACAAAATGAGGAAAAACAGGAGGAACAGGACGAGGGAGAAGAAGATGAAAATTGAAAAATATAATTATTTTATATTGTGATTATAATGTAATTAAAATAGATGGTTAAAATATAAATAAAATATAGTTAAGTATAAAAATTAGGCTCTCGAGTTTTTGTCCAAATTTTTTACTCACTGTAATGTGTTTTTATAGTCATTATGAGAGCTATAATATATAACTGCCTTGTTTAGATCAAAATAGAATACATTACATACATTCCATTTCAACAGTCGTTTCAATTTTATGAATTTCAACCCCATAAAAGTGGTTGAAATCTAGAATATAGTGTAACATTATTACCTCCAGGTCCAGAAAAAAATTTTTATTTCTTATTTTTTTTATTTTAATTTGGACTCAAATTTAATCTGCTTACTAATTAAGAACTCAAAACACTCACACAATTGTAAAATACTAGAAAAAATGATAAGATTGGAACTTAAACGTAAAAAACATTTTTTAAATAATTTATTTGAGTAATTTATACTTTCAAAAAATTTTTGGCGGTCCAGTATTTTACCTTCCGCGGTCCGGACCTGGACCGCGGTCCGCCAGTTGCCGACCCTTGTTCTAGGGTATAAAATACCCTATTTCGCTGCAATAGGACTATTACTCTAAGAGCTACAGGTGAAGATCGAGAATTTATAGTTTTTGACCACCAATCAAGCGGTTTCGGATGCCAGATTTATTTGCGTTTTTTTTTGCCACAACTGGAAACCGAATTTCTGTGTAATGAAAAAATTACACAGCCCCACAAAAAGAAAGTATCGGATCTGGTATTCACACCCATGTACATCAAGAGTGGAAAATTGGATTATTTTTCTTTGTCGAGTTATTCAAAAAATTATTAAAAAAACTAAAAATAAGCATTTGGGTTGGGTTATTGAATATTTATGTAGTTCAAAGCTGTATTTGCTGTAACTGTATGTTTTTAAATGAAAACTTACAATTGTCATTGCTGGATGACGTTCCGTTAGCAGTTGGACTAAATTATTGGTTTCAACATGATGGAGCTCCATCACATTATGGTTTACGAATATAAAATTTAGTTATCTGAATCAAAACTTCCGGGACAGATGGACTGGAAGAGGTGGACCATGGCCTCCTAGATCACCAGATCTGAATCCCCTAGATTTTTCTTTTGGGGTTATTTATAAGAAAAGATTCATAGTCCGTATATACGCTGCTGTCGCGTTAATAGACCAAGAGGTGGTACAAAGTGTTCATGCGTCCATGTTGAATCTTGATAATTTTTGTCTTGAAGTATAAGGCAACTTATTTGAACACCTTTTGTAAAAACAATTTCTATTATTTAAGCACATTATGGTTTTAGTTTATGTTTTATTATTAAAATGTTTTTCTCTATCCTTTTCAGGTTAAAATAATTCCTTACACCCAGGTACAATCGACAATCGAAAAGTGTACTTACCTATTATTGGTTATAAATTATATGTCTTGGTCCTTATAGGTAAGCACAGACCTCAGTTTTGAGAAAAAAAATGGATTTTCATTTTTTTTTAATTGATAAAAGACTTCCAAGACCTGGGATGTTTGATGAACTACAAGTTGCACTTTCTTCATTCACATCTGGATTGGTTTCCGGAAAATTTTAGAGATTATAGCGAGGAACAAGGCGAACGATCTCATCAGGATATGAAGGTTATAGAATAGCGATGTCAAGGAAGATGGGATCACATGATGGCTGATTTTTGTTGGTTGTTAAAAAGAGAAACGAAAAATAGAGGGACTAAACGAAAGCGTGCAACAAAAATAAGAATGATTTGTAGATATCGTTTTGGTTTTTTACAAGTTTTATTGCATTCTCAATCTTCTAGGCTGTTATTTTTCAACACAAAAAGTAGATGGATAGATGGGTGGGTTTTATAGGTGGTACATGTGGATGGATAAATATGCATATTCATGCCTGAACGACTGGATCCAGAACTATGCAACACGAATTATGCCATGAAAATGGCGTTTTAAGCATTTTGATCTATTTTCTGTTTTTGAATGAAATTGGACTAGCTTGTCTGACTCTATTATGATAAATTGGAATTAAACGAGTGAAAAATCATACGTCTAATGAGCTGGTAGAATATTGTGACTTTTTACAACTTTCGTCGATCGTAAATGACGTTTGTTGTGAATTTTCACCTGTTTTTTTTTTAATTTTCCCGAAAACTCAGACCCGTTGGGCCAAATCTGAAGGCAAATTCGGAATCAGCGGAAAAAAGTACATGGAAATACATGGGTCTGAATACCAGATCCGATACTTTTTTTTGTGGGGCTATGTTATTTATATTCCGTCGATAATAATACTACGAAACCGTAACCTATATCTTTTATTGTCGCTTATGCACTAATTTCTACTACAAACTTGAAATGTTGAGTTCATTTCGAAAATCGAACTTTAATACGCGTAAATTCGATTTCGAATTTGAAACTTCCTGCTCAAAGATTACTAAATGATTAACAATGTAATAAAATAACGGTCTTAATGTCCGAATTAGAAGATGATCCATTCTCTGATGGAAGCCAAAGAAGTTCTGAGAAATACACAAATTAAACAGCAGCTTAACACAATTAGAAGCGTCAAGCTTACCACTTTCAGAAAGCAAAAAATTAGTAAAGGACTCCGAATTAACCTTTAAAAGTGTCAAGGGTAAAACTGGGGAAAAGCTTCAAAATGTTCTCGGAAAAAATAGCGGATATCTTTTTCTCTCTGAGGTGGATAAAGTTTTAACGGGAAATTGTAATACTTCTATTGATGTAGATGTAGATCCTGAAAGATTGACCAGTTTAAACAATACACCCCTACTACCTGAGTGGATGTGGAGAGATATTTCGAATTTTCACCACCTAGAACGGCGGTGACAGCATTTTTAACATTAAGGCGATGTTTCGTATTGTATTAGCTATGACCTGTCCAAATTTTGTTCATGCAACTCTCTTGGTTCAACCACGAAACCATGAATAATTTCAAATATTTCGAATTTTCATCACCAAGAGTTTTTCTGTATATAAACATATGAATACGGACAAAAGACAATAGTTTTTCCAGAAAATTTTGAGTAACATTTAATTGCTTATTGTGTTTACAACTAGTTTGGATTATACTTTTAGGCAGATTAGTTGACTTTGTAATGTAACAATTAATAAACAAATTTTTATACGTGTTTTATTGCATATTTTTTAAATTTATTTGCATATAATATTGTATATAATTAGTGCATATATATGCGCATATTTTTTGTATTTTTTCGTGCATATTTGCCTAGCTTTAGTAATAACTAACAAT